AAACTGTATTTTGTGTGCAGATGTGTTATTTCGAAATAAGCTATTTTGAATTAACTATTTGAAAATAAGATATTTCGAAATAACACTAGTGTAGACATACCCTAATTGACTTACGTGGACCCTGCTGCAGTGAACTAAAAGATATCTAGCATGCATTGATGTAGCTTTGTGGACTATATCCACAGGCAATGGGTACCTTTCAGTTAGTGCCAGCCAGGTCCACGCAAAACAGGTTCTGCAGTTCATGCCACCCTAATCAGTCTCCTCCCATAAAGCAGTCTCCTGTGTTGCTTCTTCCACAGATCTGCTGCCCCCAGACAGCTGCAAAGTTTGCCTTGTGCTAGAGAGGCCTCAGCTTGCACTGCTAATATAATTAATGATAGTAGGCTTTACAGAATAGCCAACATTGGTAGAAGGTTCAAAATACCCGAGGTCACTACTCCATACAAGGGTATGTCTATACTGTACCCTTACCTTGAAATAATTGATTTAGAAACCGCCAAATTTTGAAATAAAGTGTTATTCCAAAACATCCCTTATCTCTTGTAGAATGAGGCTTAAAGGGATTCTGGAATATCATGCCTGTTCATTCTAAATCTATTATGAAATAACTGGCTGCTTTAAAGATGCAGAATAGCTATTTTGGGATAATTCTGGTAACCCAAAATATCTCTGCAGTGTAGACATGGCCCAAGTTAAGTATGCTCAATATGTTTATATATTTCTCAATTTCTGTTTAACTGAATAAGTAAACAGAGTTGTTTTTAAAAAGTTTTACTTGGTCATTACTAATTTAGTAATCTATTTCTTAACTGTAGCCCAAATATTTATGCTCAGTCAGACATAAAAAAGTTGCTATTTATCCATAAGTGAATTTATTATAGGATATATGTGACAGTTTCTGTCATTATACAAAGGGTTAGGATATCACAAATAGAAAATTCCATATGACTGTCTATGAGCAACAAGTTGTGGCAGATGAGTAATGGGAAGCTCCCATTTAGGCACATTTATCTTTAACTAATCATTAAGAGATGAAACCAGCCATTTTCTTGAGCCATTTATGAAAGCATTTCAATATTATGTTTTTCTTTCTCATTGAACACTAATATTTAATAATCATTCAAGGAGAAAGAAGTTTAATTTTTCATTTTCATTTCAGAAAATCTTTATATAGCTGGACTTGGCTTGAATGTGATCTAATATAGGGGAAAACATTGACTTGCATCTTTTTTGTGTGTCTCCATCCAAATCTTCCCTCCCCAAGTAAGCAAAACCAAACCTAGACCCCATACAGACACAACGGCTACGTCTAGACTGGCATGATTTTTCGCAAATGCTTTTAACGGAAAAGTTTTTCCGTTAAAAGCATTTGCGGAAAAGAGCATCTAGATTGGCACGGACGCTTTTCTGCAAAAGCACTTTTTGTGGAAAAGCATCCGTGCCAATCTAGATGCGGTTTTCCTCAAGAAAGCCCCGATCGCCATTTTCACTATCAGGGCTTTTTTTGCGCAAAACAATACCGCATTGTCTACACTGGCCCTCTTGTGCAAAAGCATTTGCGCAAGAGGGCTTTTGTCTGAACAGGAGCAGCATAGCATTTCTTCAAGAACACTTACAATCTTACATGAGATCATCAGTGTTCTTGTGGAAATTCAAATGGCCAGTGTAGACAGCTGGCAAGTTTTTCCGCAACTGCTTTTGCGGAAAAACTTGCCAGTCTAGATGCAGCCGGTTAACCATGTATTTCCTTCTTGTTTTTTACATTAGAAATCCAGGTCTGGCCTCTCTGCTTTCTTTGGACTGGAAAACCACTAGCATTATGACAGCACAAATTCTATGGGTACGTCTACACTGCAACTCTATTTCAGCATACCGGAGTATCCCGAAATAGCTATCCCATGTCTCCATAGCAAGCCCATTATTTCGGGCTTGCTATTCCGATGTAAACCTCATTCTATGAGGATTCTGACCACAGTTTATACAGAAATACTGCATTTGTGCCAAGATTTCAAATCCAGTTATAAACCTGGTGTTGATGCAAGAATCACAATTCATCTTACCACTAAGAGGGTGGGGAACAGTATATTGCTTCTTTTTGTTAGATATAGACACTGAGGAAAGTTTGTGAGGCGAAAAAGTCTATAAGGGACATTTTGGAATAGCGCTTTATTTCAAAATTTGGCACTGTGTAGACAGCGCCAAATGACAAAATAAGCTATTTTGAAATAATATCGAAATAAGATACACAATTTGCATATCTCAAATTGCATATCTTATTTTGAGTTACAATGCAGTGTAGACATACCCTAAGAGTGAATTCTTAAGAGTCTGGCCACTGACTTCAACGGGGACAGAATTCCTTAACAAGTAAATAAATGAACCTGATTAGATGGATGGGAAAATGAGTTTTAGTTACCGTTTTAAAATATTCTTTGGTTTTTGTTTTTGCACCTATTGAACTGTAAAACATTAATCTACATACCAGTTTTACAGCCAAGGTAGAATAGACTGTATTGTGCGATAGGTTAAATAACAACAGGAATTAGGATTCCCCAAACAATGATCCAAAATGTATTAGCACTAACAACAGGGCTGCCCTTAGGATTTATGAGGCCCTACGCAGTACTATTAAACTGCTAACTCTATGCCTGTGGATTTTTTAGAGATGTAATTTTATAATCTTCAGCAATGCACTAATGAAATATTTTAAAGCAAATTTTAAACTAAGGGTCCTATAGACTAACACAGTAAATTCAGAAACAGCATGTATATATCTGGGGTTGGCAAATGCCTGTTAAATGGCTTCATAACTATTTGAATGGCTCTTTCAAAAGTTCAGTGTTCTGTTAATAGGTCTGGCATGGTTTTTCACTTTTAAGTTAACTAGATCTTCTCCAGAGGAAGTGAAGCCACAGAACAGGGATAAGAAGAGGTGAGCGGCTGGACATTAAGACCCAGTGATGCCCCAGATTTTCGGATGCTCTACGTAGCTGCACATTCTGTGTATGGGTAAGGATGGCCCAGACTAACAACGTCTCTACCTGAGGTTGACGATAAAATGTACACCATCTTGAAAAGTATAGATTTTGTTTGAAAGTTCTATCAATGTGCTACTGACATCTGAGCACAGGTTCAATACTTCATCTACTAACGGATGATGGGGAAGAGGAGAGGAAGCTGAGCCATGGAAGTCTACTAATTTCTTCTTGTCCTGTGGCAGCTATATGCAGATGAAAGTCAAAGTCCCCTAAGGCTTCTGCCAAAGTGGAACTGAAGAAGTGAGCGTCCTACACCTATCTGGGATTTCCATCTCCCTACTACTGCGTCAAAACTTGAATTAAACAATGGTTAAATCAATCTCTTGTTAATTCTCAGTGCGGGATTTTGCCTCTTGTTAGAGAACCAGAACTTGCCATTTCTTCCAATGCCTCTCCTTCAGAAGCAATTGGGAGGAAACATGTAACTTCCTGCTTGTCGCACCATTTGAATATCAAGCATGTCATTTGTGGAATGAGTTTGGTATTCAATAGCTGGGGAGCAGAGGACTAGACTCTGTTGGCCCAGCACAAAGCACTGCTGCCAACATCTTGGTCCAACTTTAACCAGCAAACACATTCCCTTACAAAGCAGTGGCATGAATACTACAGTAAGAGATCAATCGAGCACATGATATACTAGCTAATTTAACATATAAGAAAACAACTGCATTTTTGCTTTTTAATGGTTTGTCAGCAGAATGGCAAGACAAACTTCTTATTGTGTATTTGTTTTAATTGTTTTGTTTTTTTACTACAAAACTGTGGTTTCAAAGTCTTTGGATTTAACTGAACTTAAAAATAAAGTGGAATGCTAGCCAAGCAAATAAATTTGAAAATTAAGCACACACTTTTCTTTTGTGTATGATATGATAAAGCCAAGAAAGTCCAAAAATAGTATTTTTTTAAGTAATGTAATTTGGTGCCATTTATCTGAACACATCTATGATCTGAGCAATAAGCAGGTAAATTAATACAGAGTTTGTTCTTTTTTGTTTCTGCAGCCAAAACAACCCAATCCTGATTGGCGATACTCTGCATCTCTAAGAGCAGGAATACAAAGGTACGACTGTGCTTTCCCTTAAGAGCTTATATATTTCTCCCTTGTGAAGGAGACAGTCTTTCACTCTGGTACATCTGGTGACATAGGTCAATGGAGTTACTATAGAGAACTTTCTGGGTGTCTGGTTGATGAGTCTTGTCCACATGCTCAGGGTTTAGCTGATCGCCATATTTGGGGTCGGGAAGGAATTTTCCTCCAGGGTAGATTGGCAGAGGCCCTGGAGGTTTTTCGCCTTCCTCTGTAGCATGGGGTACAGATCACAGCTGGAGGATTCTCTGCATCTTGGGGTCTTCAAACTATTTGAAGGCTTCAATATCTGAGATATAGGTGAGAGGATTATTCTAGGAGTGGGTGGATGAGATTCTGTGGCCTGCATTGTGCAGGGGGTCAGACTAGATGATCATAATGGTCCCTTCTGACCTTAAAGTCTATGAGCCTATGAGTCTATGAGGCTTATACCAAAATAATTCAGTATATCAGTCATTAGAATTAATAATCTCTCTGATACTCTTGCATATCCAAGTTCATTCTTAGGAATGTGGCCAGTTTTAAGATGCATTAATTCACTAGTGTCTCATGTGCTCATCTCTGTAGCATCTTAATAGCATCATGATGTATTGATGGAATCATAACTGGTTAATTTCCAAGATTTTGAGAAGGCTTTTTCATAATTTCCAAGGGTTTTTTATTATTCCAATGGGAGTTAGGTGCTCCCTATAACCATTCTCTCCCACTTCAATCAGTTTAGAACATTAGTAAAGATGTTGGCATGTTGACCATCATGTAACAACAGTGAATCAGATTCTGACCACAGTTTATACAGAAATACTGCATTTGTGCCAAGATTTCAAATCCAGTTATAAACCTGGTGTTGATGCAAGAATCACAATTCATCTTACCGCTAAGAGGGTGGGGAACAGTATATTGCTTCTTTTTGTTAGATATAGACACTGAGGAAAGTTTGTGAGGCGGAAAAGCTCCTTCTTGTGTTTCAGGAGTGTCACTCAGCTGGGTTTTCCTCCCTTGTACCATTTGTTCAAGTTTTTTCAACCGTTCTTGTGAACGAGAAATAAACTGAGGTTTACGGACTTCCAGGGCCTCCTAAACAAAAGTCAAAACATTTTTATTTTAGAATAAGGAAGACAAAACATTGAGATGCCCATCAAATCTGGTTTAGCAAAGCACTATCATGGAGAAGCAATATATCTCAACATTTAAGGTAACAACCAGCTTCTAGCCTTGTATTGGCTCCTCTCTAATTTTAGCTTGGAAAACTGACTTGGGTTGAATATTTCCAGATTTATACAAAAGACAAATTGAAATATTCCTTCCTAGTCAGATGTGAATTCATTAAACTACTCTTTGAGTTTCAGATTTTACAAACTTCTCCTGACAGAAAATGTTGTCATTGTGCCCCATGTTTCTCAAAAACAAAGTAAAAACAAACAACAACAAAAACCCCAGCAGCTCAAAAACCAACAAGTCTTTAGAAGCTCACAAACTTTCTTTATAGTTAAATCATCTTGAAAACTCATCCAGTGAAGATAGACAAAAAAAATAAACTGCAGTCAGTGACATGTTTGACCAAAGTGAGTCACGTATCTCACTGTAACAGATGAGACAGTAGCAATCCCTCTGTTTTCAGGGGCTGGTGGGACTCTGGGCAGGAGTTCACTTCCTGTTACCCCTCCTACCATGGCTTGCACCTCTGCCCACAAAGTGCATTTTCCCGAATGTCAATAAGAATTTACATTATAGCCAGCATGTACTAATAACTACTTCTAAGAGTTCTGCTTAATTAGTGTCATTTTAGGATTTGCATAAATTTTCCCCAGGTTCATGAAGGGTTGAGGCGCAATGTGATCAGTTCTAGAGCATATCAAAACTGTGTCTTTATGAATGCTGAGCTCCCAGCCCATCATAATTCCCATGGCTTCTGAAGCTGTGGAAATGGCATTTGTTCTAGATACAACAGTTGCAGTCAGACAAGATGGTCTCGTGAATAATTCAACAGCAGATGCAAGTGACAGACGCTGAAGAGAAAAAAGAACACAAAACAAAATTTGAACTTCTGCCCTTGGTGAGTTCCCAAGGAAGGAACCAGCATTCATGAAAACTCAGTCCCAGAATGAACAGCAGAGAAACATTTGATATGTTACCCTTAAAGTCAATAGGCTGGATGGAATTTTCTCAGGCTCAGAGTAGATTTCTGTCTGTGTGAATGCTTCTTGTTTCTCATGAGTAACATCTGGCGAGTAAACTGCGGATGTTGTTACCCTGCTGGCAGTCTCTTGTTTGTCACTCTTCTTACAATCCTTTATTTTGCCAACTGAACCACAGAATTTGTAATCACCTTAGAGAGATTTAAAAGTTCATTAAGGGTGCCTGGTTAATTTTTGATTGGGTTCTGCACCTCATTAGACACGGAGGGCAATTTCTGAACTCAGAATGCCAAGGTGTTAATAACAGGCCCCATTGAGCAGAATAGATCAGACCTAACCATAAGTGCTAGTCACTGTCCTGTGACACAGAAGTATCTTTCACATTAAGCAAGTCTTCACAATTAAGTCTAAATATACCATTTTGATATTTAGCTCCATTTGGTATTTGCTTCTTGAAGAGCAAGATATCTCCATGACATTGATATTACGTAAAGCAATATTATTGCACTGCATTCACCGACTTGGAGACCATTTAAAAGTATTGTACTGATAATGGAAAATAATAAACTGCTGTGGAAAATGAGCACATATCACTTATCTTTGACCAAACCAAGGCTTTAGTGAGAATTAGTATTGTTCTTCATTTCCTAATATATTGGTTTTACGTCTTTCTATATATCCGGGGCATGTATTAGGCTTATTTTGATGCTAATAAAGAATAGGTAAAACACTTTATAGCAATTCAGTATAAGTGTACTTAATTCAATGGGTACTGTAATCACATTTTTTCCACTTTTATGATCATACTCTATTGCTCTTTTATTATATTTCCTGAATAACTTAGATCCGAGGGAAGACCTGTGCCCAAAACACAAAAGACACCTTTTAAAATAGTCGACAAGCCTTTGATTTAAAATGTAGAATTTATCCAGAATGACAAATTAACTACTGAACAATCCCCATATGCACAGCTCTAAAACAGCAACACTGACTGATTCTCTTATGCCAAGTAATATGATTTCTGGGATTTAATATCTGGGAATAAAGCCCATTGCTGTTTGCTTTAATTGATTGGTTGCAGTAAACTGAAAATATTTTCCCTCATGACATACTGTAAACATTATGCTGCACTTTAAAAAAATGAAAATTATCTAAATTGTTTAACACAACCGTCTTTAAAAAAAATTCAGATGCATCTTCTCTCCCATATCAGGTGTTCGCTTTATTTCTCGTGGGAAAAATTTTGAAATTGGTTTACCTGAAGTTAAGTTCCTAAATATAGTGGTCTTATTTGCAAATATGATAATTACCTATTGCTTCAGCAGACTTCATTGGGGTTTGTGAATTTTCAGCACATCTACAGAATCAGGTCACTTTCAGTCAGTGGATTAAAATTGATTTAACTTTAGGCACTTGAAAACTATGTCTGTCATTTAAACAGGAGTTATTTACTATAGTTTAGATTCAGTCATAAGCTGGTTTTCCTTTTGTCTTAAGTAAAAAATAGGCTGAATTGCTACTATCATAGTAAAACCAGTGTATCTGTTCCTAATGCCTTGGGTCAAATCATCCCTTCTGTAATTTCTTAAAAGCCATAGACACTAGAGCCAAATTCACCTCTCATATTTCTCCAAGGGTGATTTTGGCCCCTTGGGGTCATCAAACTATAGACATATGAACGTGTATGGAGGTAAAATCTTTGTGAACACAAACGTGAAAAGTATGTGTTCACATTTCAAAAAACAGAAACAGAAAGATGGCAGTATTTTAGGTGGGGTAGTTAGTCCTGCATATAGCTAAGATTGACCAGTATTTTCTATTAAAAAACCCTATTTTCAGTTGCTTATACTTTTGCCAGACATCAGCTACTTGAACTGAAATTTTCTGTGCAGTGTTTCCATGCAGAGACTGCATGCTGAATGAGGCAGGGCTCTAGTGGAAAAGCAGTATTGTAATTAAAAACAAGTGGGCCAAATCAATATTACAAGAGCAATCTGAATTCTAGCATTTCTTAACTTTATGTGAAGTGACCTGTCACCAAATAATTCTTATACTGTACTGAAAACTAGACAACTATAGATAGGTTTTCTATTATTTCACTTTAAGTCTGACCTCATTTTAACACTGAAAATACATTCTCAAGAGCCGAGGCAGGATTTACAGCTTACCTTTTGGGAACTGACTTTTCCTGTGGACATCATTTTCTTCCAATGCAGGTTTTGATAAGGCTTTTATATCACATACACAATCAGACATAGAGATTTTTGGTTTCCGAAAGCATTGCACTCGAATCCCTTTGGAGTTTGAAGTGCCTATGGATGGATCTCTCTCTTTTAAAGAGCCACCACCATTGGCACTGAATTCTTTCTTGGGAGCTTGCTCCACAAAGGAAGCAGGAGCAGTTGCATTATACTTGTCTTTAGCGTACTGCTTCCAGTAGCTTCCTGAAAAAGTTTGCATTCCTAGAAAAAATAAAGTAAAAACAAATGAAAGAAGCACCTGGAAAAATGAGCCCTTTTCACAACTGACAGCTTTGAAAACAATATTTTTGCAAGATTCTTTTTTGATGTTTACTACTTCACAAGTAAAGTTTTCAATACATTTATGAATAAATTCATATCACAATACAACTTTGAAACAGGGATGAGATACCGTGGTCATAAGAAAACACAGTGCTAGATCATTTGCTTGATCATTTCCCTGTTCCATAAATTGCTTTTGAGTATGTCATCCTAATTTCCAATAAAACTGCCTGTAATTATAAATTAGAAAGTTAAACTCATACAAATACCAATGCATTATTGTCCCTTGGCTGCAGATTGTTGGTAGTGCAATGTTATCTGTGTGTCTTAAAAAAACTGACAAGAAAAACTATTACAAAGGCTATTCTCCATAAAAGATAAACTGTTGATCTAAATCACACATATGCTCTACTGGGGTATTTTGGAAGGTGGTCAGTGTTAAGGACACTCCAGACACACCGGAGCTATTTGACTTTCTCCTGCTTCTTTCTCTCACCGCTAATGTATTTTGGGGCTGGTAGAACTGGTCTAGAGATATGGTTGCATGCACAGTGATGGTAAGGACCACAGCAGCAATGGTGGTGAAGATGAAATGTGCGATCCATGGTGATGTGCATAGCCTGTTAGTTTCAGAGGGCATGTCTACACTGGGGAGTTATTTTGAAATTACTCCCTTTATTGTGAAATAACGAGGTGAGCATCCACATACCGAGTCTGTTATTTAGTAATAATGGGCTTGCTATTTCGAAATAATAGCTCCTGCTTGTGAAGAGGAATAAGCTCATTTCAAAACAGTTATTTTGAGATTTACTAAGATGCCACAGGATTCCTCATTGTTTTTATAGCCTACGTAGTTAAGGGCTGAGAACCAGAGATTTAATTGCTTCAGTACTGCCCTATATAGCTGGGTTATTACTTTGTAAGTTTCAGAATTGTAGGAATATTGCCATGTTCCATCACCATACAAAGCTGCAGCAGAGACCAGTAGCAAATAATGTAACTTGCATATAGTGCATTTTCCCTTTTGACTCCTCCAGCCTCAAACTGCTGCTTCCAGGAGCACAGCCATTCCAGAAGCAGAACTCTGTTGCAGCAGCAGTAGAAACATGAATCAATAAAGCATTATTGCTTATTGACTACTGACAATGTGCTCTGTGTTAATGGTCTCTGACCTAAGGGTCTTACAGTCTAAGCAGGCAAATAATATATGTGTAATGGAAACACATGCTTTACGAGCAGCAGCATAAATCTCACACAGGAAGAGAATTCTGAGGAGGAATTTGAATGAGGAGAGATGGGAATTCCAAAGGGAGTATCATAGAAAAATGGCATCAAGATGAGAGAGAGAGAGAGAGAGAGGGAGAAAGAAAGATGAGTTAGGTGAGATTTATTTTAAATCCCCACGAACTGATTCCTATATTTCCCGTGAGCTATGTAATTGCATGACTATGCACCCCATCGCAGCAAGGTTCTGGCCTTGTATTGCTAGTGACTTGCCTGCAGTGCCTGTTGGAGATCCATAACAGGAAATTGGCCTGGGACTGGAGAAGGACTTAAAATGACCTGAATTAATCTAGTACTGGGAGAACATATCCAACAGAAAAGGCACATTGGATACTCAGACGTTGTGAGGGCAGGAAAGGAAGAGAAAAACCTAACCCAGACCAAATATAAGAGACAGGAATGTTATTACCTACTCTCTGCAACATAGGGTATGTCTACACTACAGCGCTATTTCAAATTAACTTATTTTGAATTTGTTAAGCTAATACGGAATAACGCATCTAGACCCATAATACTAATTGAAATAGCATTTTTCTATTTCAAAATAGCGCGTCCACACTGATTGGATGCTGGATCGCATTTAAGGGCAGCTGAAACAGGTTCCAGCAGGGCATCAGGTCAGTAGTTGCTTTGGCTGCTATCTGAGGCTAGTGCTTAAAGGGACCCCCACCTGTACAGCCAGTTCTCAGCTTTCCCGCTTGCTTGCCTACCTCGCCAACGGACAGCAAAGCGTTTTCCTCTCCTTCTGCTTTGGTCGTTCTCCTTTGGGACACTGCAGCACTTGGCACCATGGAGCCAGAGCCATCCCTGGGCACTCTGGTGCTCACGTTGAACGCCTTGCTGCAAGCCTGGCATCAATTGCTGGAGGCTGCCTGGCACCTTCTGCTGGAGGCCAGCCCCCTGGCCCTCCCCCTGCACCTCTGGGGGCCCTGATGGAGCAGTGCCTGGATGCCAGCATGCTCCACCGCATCTGGTGTCTGGACACCAGCAGCGACAGGTGGGACTACATCGTCCTGGAGCTCTGGGAAGACCAACAGTGGACCCAGAACTTCAGGATGAAGAAGGACACCTTTATGGAGCTCTGCGAGTAGCCCGTCCCTGCTCTTCAGCAACGGGACACATGCATGAGGGTGGCCATCGCCCTCTGGAAGCTCTCCACACCGGATAGCTACCGATCCATCGGGAACCAGTTCGGCATGGGGAGATCTACCACTGGAGCGGTGCTCATGCAGGTACGGCACTCACTGGCCACTGGGCCAGGACGGGGGGCTGCAAGGAGGACATGGGCTGCCCCAGGGAAAACGGGGGGGAGGTGGTGTAAGCGCTCACCCTGGGAGGGGTCGATCTGTTCCGGCCACGCTACGGACCACCTGCGGTGGCCAGGATAGCAGCGGGGGTTGCTTCTGGGAGTGGGGCACAGGGAAGTAGCGGGGAAAGAACACTCCCAGCCAAATGGGCACCCCAGTGACCCTCGGTTTTGTGTGCCTCTCTGCAGGTGGTGAAGGTCATCAACAGGATGCTCTCCACAGAGTCATCACCTCACTGACCTGGACGCGATCATCCAGGGGTTCGGTGGCCTCGGCTTTCTCAACGGCGGGGGGGGGGTCAATCGATGGGATGCACATCCCCATCTGTGCCCCAGACCAACAGGCCTCCCTCTTCATCAACAGGAAGGGGTACTTCTCAGTGATCCTGCAGGCCGTGTCTGACCACCGGGGCCAGTTCATGGACATCAATGTGGGCTGGTCCGGCAAGGCAGATGACGTGCGGGTGTACCGCAACTCCTCCGTGTGCCGGAGGCTGCACGCCAGGACTTTTTCCCCTGACAGCCACATCAGAGTTGGGAATGTGGACATGCCAGTGTGCCTGGTGGAGGATGCAGCCTACCCCCTACAGCCCTGGCTCATGAAGCCCTACACAGAACACCTCAGCCCCTCCCAGCAGGCCTTCAATGCCAGGCTCAGGAGAGCCTGCATCGTGGTCGAGGGGGTCTTCGGCTGACTGAAAGCACAGTTTAGGTGCCTCCTCACCCGCCTCGACCTCTCATGGTGGCAGTGTGCTGTGTGCTCCACAATTGTGTGAGAGGAAGGGGGAGGCTTTCCTGCCAGCCTGGATGGCAGAGGCTG